ATTAGAACGAGTAACTGTTCAAATCGATGGATCAGCTGAAGGTTTTGAAGTTGTCCATTGTACTACTTGTCAAGTTATTAAATGTAATGATACGGGTACAACTTATACATTAGTTAAATTACCTGATGATTCATCAGCTGTAACTGGTAAATTAGCATGTACAATGAAATATACAGTTAAAGATTGTGATCCAACGACCGGTGTACCAGATGATGAAGAAGGTTATGCTGATGAATTTGTGGTTTGTATTTTTATTAATTTCAATTATTTATTTGTCATAGCGTTTTGTCTTTTGTTTTTAGCTTGAAGATATTGGAATAACAGTTAGTGATCATGTACAAAAAGTACTTAAACCAAATTGGTCTGCTTCATAGGAAGAAATTGGAGCTGAAAATGAACTTGAAGATACATATACATTATTAATTCCAACACTTGAAGGTATTATAAAATTATTATATTTTATTTTTCATTTCATCTTATGTTTATTATAGAATGTGTGAAGAAAATAATAAATTATATGGGAATGCAAGCTTGTGAACGATCAGACAAAATTCCAGAAGGCAAAGCATCACATGCACTTTATTTAGCGGGTGTCTATCGTGGTGAACATGATGTACTTGTTCGAGCAAAAATGGCATTGGGTGGTACAACAGTATATCCAGGAGCACAAGCTATTACCAGGCAATTAACAATACGTTCGACAGATGAATCAGCTGTGCAAGTTATTGCTTCAGCAGTCGAATAAATAAATAAATAAATAACAAAAACATTGATACATTTTATTAGCATACTTTTCTTTTTTGTTGTGTGGAACTTTTTATCGATGTGCGAGTGTTATAAACTTATTATTCTCTTACTCTAAATAATATACACAGAAACATACTTTTTTCATCGATTATTATTCCATCATAGTGCCTAATTTAAAAAAAAATCAATTATTTTGACAAAGATTCGAAGCAAGCATTGACCAAGGCTAATAGAGCATATAACTTTTTTTTTTCTTACTAATTTAACTTTCTATCCATCACTCAGTAACATAAAGATAATGTTCTATTGGACATAGTGTTAGTTGTTTTTCGTGTCAATATCTAAACTTAAATGATAGATGACTTTCTCTTGCATAAAAAATACAAACATTGTGCTTTTTAAAAAGCTGTTTCAATTTAACCAATCCAAGTTGAAAGAAA